GTTAGGGGGATAAATTCTGTTCTGGTCAGAACAGATTTTCATTAGTCAGGCTGCCATCACAAAATTAACAACAGACAGTTCTGGAGTCTGGAAGTCTGTGATCAAGTGCTGGAAAGTCAGTTTCTGGTGAGGACTCTGCCTGGCTTACAGACAGCTGCCTTCTTGCTGTGTCCTTACTTGGTTTGTCCTCTGTGCCTCCTCCTCATAGGCTTTGTCTTTAAATACAGTCATATTGGGGGTTAGGGTGTCAACATTTGATTTTCGAGGGATGTAAATATTCAGTCCCTACCAGCCAGTACAGTTCATGCTTTTTGTTAATTCAGACGGAAGGTGCGTCTTCTGACAGTGGTAACACAGGTGGAGATGTATGCTGTGCCTGAAAGAGCACAGCTACTCGTTGCCCCTGGATCTTGGTCAAGATCAGGATTCCTGAATCTTCTCAGGGGGTACAGCTGCCTAAGTGCAAATGCCAAGCATGTCAGGTCAGAATTTTAGATTTCTCCTTTCAACGTGAAACTCCACCTCCTTTCAGAATGACTGGACAATTTTTCTATTGGGAAAGGAAGTTCATGGTCACAGTCCCCACTCTTCTTTGGGAACCCTCTCTTATGTGTCCAAAACTCTCTCAGCTCAGCGTTGTCTGAGCTAATAGGGGTGTGTGTGTGTGCGCGCACACGTGCATGCATGTGTGTTGGTTCAGGCATCATTCAGTTGTCCTCTGCCTTCCTGGAGTGCCTTCATACATTGTGAGATGGTGTCTTCAGTAATTTGTGCTCATTTGGCTGACCCGGGACTCAGGGACTCTGCAGGAACTGCAGCACTCCAGCATGTCAGCAGCTAGTCAGGTGGTGCAAGCAGCTGTCAGGGCTGGGTTCAGATCTCTGTCAGTGCCTACAGTGGCTTAACCAAATAGAAGATTGCTTTTCTCACATACCAAGGAATTTGGAGGCCAATAGTACAGGGCTATCAGAAACCCAAGTTCTGAGTGTCTCCATTCTGCCCTCCTATGTGTGTAGCTTTCAGCAGGTTTGCAAGACACATGAGTGGCCAACTCTCCAGTTCCAGGCAAAAAGGAGACTGACATGTCAGATCAAGTCCATCCTTTTTAACAACCTTTCCTGTAAACACCCCAATCCCAACAGATTCTAATTTCATCTAATTGGCTAACATGTTTCATAGGCTATTCCCAGCTGCAAGGGAGCTGGGAGCTGAGCTTTGTAAGCTGGCACCATGCAACCCTGAATAAATTTAGCATCTGTTGCCAAGGAAAAGGGGGGAGTGGCTGTTGGGCAGGGAACTGCAGTGTCTGCCACAGTGCTGCTCTGGTTTGAATGTGTTCCCCAAAGTTCATGTGCTGGAAATTTGACCACCAACATAGTAGTGTTGGGAGGTGGGGCCTAATGGCAGGTGTTTGGGTCATGGGAGCACCACCCTTGTGAATGGATTTATGCCATTATCACAGAAGAGGTCAGCCACCTCTTGCCTCTCTCACCCGCTCTTTGCTCTTCCATCATGTCTGATGTAGCAAGAAGGCCCTCAGCAGATGCTGGTCGCTCAATCTTGGACTTCCCAATATCTAGAACCATGAGCCAATAAATTTCTGTTTGTTATAAACTCCCCAGGTTGTGGTGTTCTGTTACAGCAGCACAAAACAGGTGAAGACAAGTGCCTTTCAAACAATATTTTCTGCCTTAGAGGAGGGGGCTGCCTGCCCTGGGGATGACTGGAGGAGGACAGCTGTGTCCTCACTGCTTCCCTCTTCTCTTGAGCAGTTCACCTCTGGTCCCAAGTCTCCAGATGCCCCTCAGCAAAACAAAGGCTATGAAGCTGACTGCATTGTTGCTTGAGTGTTTGTCCACTCAGCATCGATTAGCTCAGCAGCTGCTGGGTGACAGTCACCGTTCTAGGAGCCAGGAATACAGGAGTGAGGAAGACTATCCCCAACTTACTGGAGCTGGCATCATCTAGGAAAGGCAGACAGTAATAAACAGATAAATGTGATATGATTAGGTCATATCACTGGAAGATAAAGTACCCTAAGAGAATGGAGAGGGAAGATTTTTTAAATAGTGTAACCTGAAATGACTTTCTGAAGGAAATGATGTTTGAGCAGACTGGACAAGTGAAGGGATGGCTGTGGGCTCTTGGGGTAAGGGTGAGAGAGAGCCTTACCCATGCAGATGCATGCTGGCTTGTTCTGGGAATTGCAGACTGGCTCTAGGGCTGGGGAGGAGGGTGTGGGCAGCAAGGTGGGGAGTGCACAGTCAGGGCCACATGGGACCGGGGAGACTGTGGTGGGACTCCGGATGTTTCTTTCTGAGAGTGATAGGCAACCATTTGGAGGGCTTAGCAGGGAACTGACATCATCCTCTCTAGCTGCTGTGTGGGGAATGGACTGTGGAAAGGTCAAAAGTGGAAACAGTTAGAAAGTAGTGCAGGAGTCCCAGAGAGAGCATCTGTGTTCTCAGCGTGGCCCCAGTGGAGACAGTGGGGAACAAACAGGACTGGGATGCAGGCTAAAGGATGTTAAGACCCGATGTGGGTTGGAAGAAAAAGAGAGGAGTCGAGGATGACTTCAGAACATCCCCCTGAGCAAATGCCCACCTCGTCCCCTAGAGGCTTTGGGGATTCTCTCCATTCTCTCCCTGTACATTTCCAGGAAGGTTTCCCAGATCTTTACAGGCAGATGCCCTGGCGGCTGCCCAGCTGGATGCTCCCAGGGCCGCTTTTGGTACTAATAGTAATCAACAGATCAGTTTTTGTTTATTTTTGTTTCTTAAAAAAAATTTTTTTTTGAGACAGGGTCTTGCTCTGTCACCCAGTCTGGAGTACAGTGGTGCAATCACCATTCACTACCGTATTGACTTCCAGGACTCAAGCAATCCTCCCACCTCAGCTTCCCAAGTAGCTGGGACTATAGGGATGAGCCACTACGCCTAGCTAATTTTTTAAATTTTTGTCAGTCAGGGTCACCAGGTGCGGTGGCTCACACCTGTAATCCCAGCACTTTGGGAGGCTGAAGCAGGTGGATCACGAGGACAAAAGATCGAGACCATACTGGCCATTATAGTGAGACCCCATCTCTACTAAAAATACAAAAATTAGCTGGGTATGGTGGTGTGTGCCTGTAATCCCAGCTACTTGGGAGTCTGAGGCAAGAGAATCGCTTGAACCAGGGAAGTGGAGGTTGCAGTGAGCCAAGATCACTTCACTGCACCCCAGCCTGGGCAACAGAGCAAGACTCCATCTCAAAAAAAGAAGGAAAAAAAAATCTCCGTATGTTGCCTAGGCTGCTCTCCGACTCCAGGGCTCAAACAGTTCTTCTACCTCAGCCTCCCAAAGTGCTGGGATTACAGGTGTGAGCCACCATCCCTGGCCCACAGTAAAAAATAATGATAATAATCACAAATGTAAGGTTGCATCTCTCCCTATTACTCATTTTAAGTGGAAGGAAATGGGGCCCAGCACCCTTGTAGCACACAGCCCACCTCCCCCATGCCTCCGTCCACTCTATGGAGCTGGGACAAGGCACCTAAAATTGCTCCTCTCTTAGGAAAGTGCATACGGAAGCCTCCTGCACACAGGGGAAGGTGTACTGTTTTGCTTTTCTTCCTAATAAGAATCCCTGGATTTTGATTAGGCAACCCGAGGGGCATGTCTCTCATGAGGTTATTACCCAACACGTGGGTCTCTCAGTGGGAAGAAAAAGGGTTTCTATGGTCAGGACATGGTGCAGAATGGGTTGCATTAATCATGTGCTGAATATACAAGGAGGGGCAGGTTAAAACTCCTAATCAGTAATGAGACTGCACCTGTGAATGGCCACTGCACTCCAGCCTGGGCAACACAGTGATACCCCATCTTTTTTTTAAAAAAAAAAGGAGGGGGCTTCTGGCTGGGCGCGGTGGCTCACACCTGTAATCCCAGCACTCTGGGAGGCTGAGGCGGGTGGATCACGAGATCAGGAGTTTGAGACCAGCCTGGCCAAAATCATGAAACCCCATCTCTACTAAAAATACAAAAATTAGCCAGGCGTGGTGGCACACGCCTGTAGTTTCAGTTACTTAGGAGGCTGAGGCAGGAGAATCGCTTGAACCCAGAAAGTGGAGGTTGCAGTGAGCCAAGATGTGCCATTGACTCCAGCCTAGGTGACGGAGCGAGACTCCTCAAAAAAAAAGGAGGGGGGGCTTCCTTGTTTTAAATGTGATAGCACTGCATTGAAAGGAAATAAAACTTTCTCTTGGGATTGCATTCCTAAGCCATTTCCCCCAACTGAAGGGTTAAAGCTTAACACTGGGTGTTTCTGAGGCTCTCACACAGTTAGGCACTGGGCAGAGTGTGACATCCTGCCTGCTGACCAAGGAAGGACTTTGTAAGGGAAGACTTCCTTGGGAAGAAGACAAAGAGGACCATGAGGGGCACACACTTGGTGTTCAGTGACCACGTGCCGACTATGACATCTATTAACACACATAAAACGAACACCCACTCTAGGCCAGGCACTGTTCTAGGTGCTGGGTAAACACAATCAAATACAACGGCCTCTGCACCCATTGTGAGGGAGCTCCAGAGGGAGACAGGCAAAACAAATAGACAAAAGACTTCCAAAGGGAGATGCTGGAGGGAAACAAGGCTCAGAGACTGAAAACAGCTTGTGGGCAGCGTCCATGTCTGCAAAGAAGGGCCATTGCAGATGGCACCAAAAGTGAGGGTCACGTGGCTGCAGATGGAGCTTTTGGGGCCTGCATATTGACCCTGTGGTGGGAAAATCTTGTGAGAGAGTGCAGCTCTGGGTAAAATGTGGATTCTGTTTTCAGCTGTGCGTGTTTGGAGGGAGGTAGGAGTGGACGTGGAAACCCTTGTATACTCCAAGCTGCCTTTCAGAACCTGGGCTGTTTAGAAACAGACACAGCATTCGGTGCAGGAGGCCAGGGCCACGGGATGCCACGGGACACTCACGCCCCTCCCACTAACCCAGGTCTCCCACAATTCTTTTACAGCCACTGCAGGGTTCAGTTCAATCGCCGAAAATGAAGATGCCCTCCTCAGACATTTGTTCCAAGGTTATCAGAAATGGGTCCGCCCTGTATTGCATTCTAATGACACCATAAAAGTATATTTTGGATTGAAAATATCCCAGCTCGTAGATGTGGTGAGTAATCCTTGGCACGTGGCTAAAAAGAACATGCATTCCTTAACCTGTTTGTGAGTCTAAAATATTTTTTATTCCCTATGTCTGACATTTCAATTTTAAAAATAATTTACTGTGAGAGAAAATCTGCCCCCAAGAAGCCACTGAAATGACCCTGAGGAAAGAACGAGAAGTTGTCATGGGGTAAATTTTCATTGCAGCACTGTTACTATGGGACCTTTTTGCCAGGGGGAGGATGTGGTTGCTAAGACAGTCACTGCCCCGGTCCGGCTGCTGAACACCCAGGGAGGAGTGCTGGGAACTGGAGACAAGAAGGGCTGAGCCCAGGGCTGCCGTACTGTGATCGCTGACCCTCCCTGGCTGTGCCCTGGGCTCACAGAGGTGTCTGCAGGGAGACAGGGTGGTGAGAAAACTGCCCAGAGCAAGGCCTGTTCTTGCTCTCCCTAGGCGGCCTCGTCACCTCTCCTGAGCTCACCCTTGCCTTTGCATTCTGATTTTCCTTTTGGGCTTGCATTTCTGCCATGATTATGTCCCTAGAAGCAATCAGTGAACTTCAGCTCCCTAAAGCAACAAAATTGTCCTGCTATGGTCCTCAAAGCCCCAGAAGAATCCTCCCATGTTGCCTATATTCCCCACCCCACTACATACATGTGCACACACTCACCTGCGCTGACTGGCTCAAAACCCCAGGATTCCTTCTAGAAAGTCATGCAAAGTTCATCTCCAATTTAGCTACTATTTACCTCTTATTTTATTTTATTTTTTGAGACACAGTCTCACTCTGTTGCCAGTCTGGAATGCAGTAGCATGATCTCACCTCACCGCAACCTCTGTCTCCCAGTTTCAAGCGATTCTCCTGCCTCAGCCTCCTGAGTAGCTGGGACTACAGGGCGCGCTAATCACCACACCCAGCTAATTTTTTTTTGTATTTTTAGTAGAAACAAGGTTTCACCATGTTGGCCAAGCTGGTCTTGAAATCCTGACCTCAGGTGATCCTCCTGCCTTGACCTCCCAAAGTGCTGGGATTATAGGCATGAGCCACTGCACCTGGCGTTTTTTATTTTTATTTTTTTGAGAAAGAGACTTGCTCTTTCACCAAGGCTGAAGTGCAGCAGTGTGATCTCAGCTCACTGCAACCTCCGCCTCCTGGGTTCAAGCGATTCTCCTGCCTCAGCTTCCTGAGTAGCTGGGATTACAAGCGTACGCCATCATGTCTAGCTATTTTTTGTATTTTTAGTAGAGATGAGGTTTTGCTTTGTTGGACAGGCTGGTCACAAACTCTTGACCTCAGGTGATCCACCAGCTTTGGCCTCCCAAAGTACTGAGATTACAACTGTGAGCCACTGTGCCTGGCCTATTTGCACATTTAAATTGCCTTCTGGGTTATGCAATTAACTGCTACTTGTTTTAGTTCTTTTTCATTTTAAGCAAAATCTGCATGTTATTTGACTGTTTTAAATTGAGCATCTTAGGCCAGGCGCAGTGGCTCATGCTTGTAATTCCAGAACTTTGGGAGGCCGAGGCAGGTAGATCACCTGAGGTCAGGAGTTTGAGACCAGCCTGGCCAGCATGGTGAAACGCTGTCTCTACTAAAAATACAAAAAAATTAGCTGGGTGTGGTGGTGCACATCTGTAATCCAAGCTACTCGGGAAGTTGAGGCAGGAGAATCACTCGAACCCAGGAGGTGGAGGTTGCAGTGAGCTGAGATTGTGCCATTGCACTCTAGCCTGGGCGACAGAGCGAGACTCTGTCTCAAAAAATAAAATAAAAAATAAATTGAGAATCTTTTTCACTTCAAACACCTCAAAGGAAAGACTCAGATTTTTCTGATCAAAAATAAAAAACAGCTGGGTGTGGTGGCATGCACCTATAGTCCCAGCTCCTTGGGGGTTGGGGCGGGAGGATCATTTGAGCCCCAGAGCTTGAGGCTGCAGTGAGCTACGGTGGCATCACGGCACTCCATCCTGGGCAGCATCTTGAGACTCCATTTCTAAAACAACAACAAAAACCACAACTTTCTTTCACTTTGATTTACAGTACTTTTCAAATTGTCATTTTCTCAGGATGAAAAGAATCAGCTGATGACGACCAATGTGTGGCTCAAACAGGTAAATTTCAATCCAAGTGATTGTGTCTGCCAACGCAGTCACTTATCTTTTATTTGGAAAGGCTCCCATCTGAAAAGCAATGATTTAAGGGGGCGTAGCATGTTCCTCAGGGAGATGTGTGGCAAGGGTCTGTGGCTTTTATTTTCTGTCGTGTTCGGGAGCTGGTCCTGGAAGCCCCTGGGTACACACTGTTGTGCATGGTTGCTCCCAGCAGTAGAACTGGTCCTGGGTCTGGAGGAGATGACTCTTCTGCTGTGGGCCCTGGGACCACTCGGAGAAAAGAACAAAGAGCCTCCCAAGATGTACCACTTTCCCCCAGGTAGGGAACTGCAACTGGGTAGGAAAATCCCTAGCCTCCTCTAGTCCTCCATGGGTGGAATCTACCTCCAAAACCTCTTGTTGCTTCCAAGGAAGAACTGAGCCCTAAATGAGGGAATAATGGGGCTGCCCATTGTTAATTTCAGAACAGAGTGAAGCCCAAAACAATGAATACATGGTTTTCTAACATCACTGAAAATGCATTTTGAATCATTTTCAGCTTTCTTCTTAGATAATTGCTTTTCACTTGGCTACAGCTTATTTCCTAAACCCAGGGGAATGTGTCCAGAGGAGTTTGTTCTAGGATTGTCAGTAAATAATTACCATTCAAATCCCAGTTTCGCATATCTACAAAGAGAAAATATTGACACTTGATAGTGGGAAAGAAGTTTGGTTTATCCCAGCTACTCGGGAGACTGAGGCAGGAGAATCGCTTGAACCTAGGAGGCGAAGGCTACAGTGAGCCACGATCTCACCACTGCATTCCAGCCTGGGCAACAGAGCAAGAGTTTATATTAAAAAAAAGAAAGATAGAAAGAAAGAAAGAAATTGGGTTTAATTACTTATTTTGTGTTTTTATTTTGCTAGTGGGTTTTTTAAAAATTTAATTTGCTTTTATATTTATTTGCTTATTTATCTGAGACACAGTCTCTTTCTGTTGCCAGGCTGGAGGGCAGTGGCATGATCTTGGCTCGCTGCAACCTCCATCTCCCAGGTTCAAGTGATTCTTGTGCCCTTCCAAGTAGCTGGGATCACAGGTGCCTGCCACCACGCCGGCTAACTTTTGTATTTTTGGTAGAAATGGGGTTTCACGATGTTGGCCAGGCTGGTCTTGAACTCCTGACCTCAGGTGATTCACCCGCCTCAGCCTCCCAAAGTGCTGGGATTACAGGTGTGAGCCACTGTACCTGACCTAAATATTTTCAATGAATGTCTAGATATTGTGTAATTTGCCCCATAGATTTAGAATATTCCTGGTGGGATATTTCTGCTAATGCTTTATAAGGAGCAATGGTTACAAGAAACAGCAAGGAGCTTCCCTCAGCTTCATTTCATGTCAAATTTCTCCCACCCAACAACTTTAGTCAGAGTTAGAGAGCTATCATGATTTTCAGTGCTTTCTACTCATCTGGTTCTCCAATCATAGATGTAGGAACAAGCTGTGAAATGGGTCTGCATCTTGTGTTACTTGCAAATAAAAATATCCAGGAGAAAATAGGCCGGGCATGGTGGCTCATGCCTGTAATTCCAGCACTTTGGGAGGCCGAGGCAGGCGGATTATGAGGTCAGGAGTTCAAGACCATCCTGACAAACATGGTGAAACCCCGTCTCTACTAAAAATACAAAAATTAGCAGGGCATGGTGGCGCTTGCCTGTAGTCCCAGCTACTAAGGAGGCTGAAGCAGGAGAATCGCTTGAACCTGGGAAGCGGAGGCTGCAGTGAGCCGAGATCACACCACTGCACTCCAATCTGGGCAATAGAGCGAGACTCCTCAAAAAAATCCAGGAGAAAATAATAAGCTTGAATTGTATATATTAAAATACCATTTAAATAAACATATCTTGCTATACACCCATCTCATTCCTCAGTGACTTACCCACTTTTGCATTTCATAGACCATAGAATTGGGAAGTATTTTGAATTGATAAAGGCCAAGAAGAAATCCTATATCGAGCTTGCAGGGGAGAAAAGAACCCACACTTTCCTCTTAAGGTGAAAACAGGCTTAGAAATTAATAAAAATCAAACAAACACACAAACCCCCCACATGCCTCCTTCCCCCACTGCTCTTTTTTTTTTTTTTTTGGGCAGTGGTTTGATCTTGGCTCACTGCAGCCTCCACCTCCTGGGTTCAAGCAATTGTTCTGCCTCAGCCTTCTGAGTAGCTGGGACTACAGACATGTGCCACTACACCCAGCTAATTTTTGTATTTTTAGTAGGGATGGGGTTTTGGCATGTTGGCCAGGCTGGTCTCATACCCCTGTTGTCAGCCCAAAGTGCTGGGATTACAGACATGAGCCACTGTGCCTGGCCGAGATTAAGCTCTAATCTTTCACATAAAGCAGGGGTCTGGGAAATAGTAGGTCTTTTCACTTTTCTTGTGGTTTTGAAAATAAGGAGTCATTTCAACCAAAGAGAACAACGTTAGACAACAAAAGGGTGGGAGCCGAGGGCCCCTCAGGCGTCAGCTACAGCTTTGGAAAGGACTTCCCACAAAGTGTGCCACCAGAATCCCAGAGGCCTGGTGGGTGTCTTCAAATCAAGGTGGAATTAAATCCTAAAAATCAATTCAGCACCCAAAATTGAGCAGGAGAAATCCACAGGCACGAAGCACATTGACACTTGGAAGAGTCAGCCCACTGACGGAAGTTCCATTTAACAGAAGCAAGGGGAATAATCGACTTTTTTTTGGCATAAGTATGTAAGGTACAAGTGCAGTTTTGTTATACAAATATATTATGTAGTGAAGTCTAGGCTTCATATGTATCTGAATACTAATGTACATTATACCCATTAGGTGATTTCTCATTCCTCACCACCTCCCAACCTCCCACTCTTCCGAGTCTCCAATATCTGTTGAGAATAATATACTTTAATCGTGTTTAATTCAGAAATGCATAAATGAGGTTTATCTCATTTAAACCTCTCTGCCACCTGACTTAGGAAAACAGACATCATTACCCCTGTTTCATAGAGATCGAAGAGTTCAATCCTCGTCTGACTGGAATGTGAGTTTCTTAACCCCTGGCCAGGGTCTTTCTGGCCATATGCAGCCTCCTCCCTGAACACTAAGCCCTGCTTCTAGATCACCGGAGGAGCCAAAGCAGGAGAAACAAAGCTTCATATTCCAGAAAACTGCAGAGGATTTAGTCAATGCAGCATCCATTTGCACAGATTGAGTTTGGAGTGGGAAACGTTACAGTGGATATTAGTTAATAAGTGCTGTTATGGCACAGACAATGTTGGGGCAAAAAAGAAAGGCCAATTTTACAACATTGGGTGGCAAGCAGGGAAGGCTTCCTGGAACAGGAGGCATTGAGCTCCGCCATGATGTTACTTTTATGCTTTAAAAAAATGCTTTTTAAAGCTATAAGGATAAAAGAAAGTTGAAGGATTAAAGAAGGAAAAGAAAAAATAAAATAGATATTTATAAAAAAGCTATCATTGGTGTTCTACACAGATCTTAGTTCTAGAGCGGCTAATGATAATATCTCAGATTTACTGAGTACTTACTAAGTGCCCAGGCATGATGCTGACTGTGTCATGGTAATAATACCATTGAATTTTCACAGCCATCCTATAAAGGAGGTTCTATTATTATCCTAACTTTGCAGATGAGGAAACTGAGGAAGGTTAAACACTTTTAGGGGAAGTCCAGCTTCTGTAGAGAAATCATTCCCTTGCCTTAGACTGGAGGGAGAGTTTGGAGCGTGTCTTATTCTCCTGTTAGTCCTGTTCCTGTATAATTTCCTAATCCTGATCATCTAAGGCTTTGATTCCTTTTTCTTTTTTTTTCTTGAGATAGAGTTTCGCACTTGTTACCCAGGCTGGAGTGCAATGGCGCGATCTCGGCTCACCGCAACCTCCGCCTCCTGGGTTCAAGCAATTCTCCTGTCAGCCTCCCGAGTAGCTGGGACTACAGGTGCGTGCCACCATGCCCAGCTAATTTTTTTTTTGTATTTTTAGTAGAGACAGGGTTTCACTATGTTGACCAGGATTGTCTCGATCTCTTGACCTTGTGATCCACCCACCTCGGCCTCCCAAAGTGTTGGGATTATAGGCGTGAGCCACCGCGCCTGGCCCGGCTTTGATTCCTTAACCTCCGGGACATCTGATGGAGTTGGTCTAGAAAGAATTCAGGAGAGAATGAAGTTAGGATCCATTCCATCTTCCATCCATTCACCAGGATTTATTGAGAGCCTATGGGCCAGATGCCCTGCTAGATCCTGCATGTATAAAGAGTGACACACAGCACTGCCTGCAAGAAGAGGACACAGCGTTCGTTACCAAAAAATAATCACTGTGATAAACACCACAAAGGATGTACATATAAACCACTGTGGAGCTTAAAAAAAGACAATGAGACAGGAAGAAAGTCAGGGAAACCTCCCAAGGGGAGGAGATATTTAATTTGACTTCTTACAGAAGTTCTACAACCCAAAAAGGTGGAGAAGTTGTGAACCACCTGAATAGTAGTCCAATAACACCGCTATCCGAAAGCTCTCACATTTGCTCAAACCCACTGGTAACTCTTAGCAATCATCCCTGTGTGCCTCAGACAAAATGAAAACAAAAATGCCTAGTTCCCCGTTTCCTCATTTGCCTCCCAGACACTGAAACAATGCTCTCTAATTCATATCCACTTGGAGAAAAAAATTCTACATACTTGGAACAAAACCATCTTCCATGGCAGCGCATGCAAACTCATGGGGTTTTTTAGCCGATTTTCCTGTCTTATCCTCTGTTTCCATAGCTCTCCTCCGGTATATTTAGACACTCCTATCCTCTCAACCAAAGAAAGATCTTTATAAAGCACAAATCCAGTGACATCCAGAGGAAGTCTTCTACATGGAGCTATTTTTATTTTATTGATTTTATTTTGCAAACTAGTTTGTCTTCCTCCTTTGTACTTCCAGACAGTAATCAAAACCCCGTAAACTATAAATATAATGTTAACACTG